AGAGAGGAAGGGAGAGGGAGAGAGAGATAGAAACATCCATGATGAGAGAGAATCCTGGATCGGCCGCCTCCTGCACGCCCCCTACTGGGGATCGAGCTCACAACCCGGGCACGTGCCCTTGACCTGGAATCCAATCATGATCTCCTGATTCCTAGGCCGACGCTCAACCACTGAGCCACACCAGCCAGGCTGGGTAACAACACTCTTAAGAGAAAAGAATGGGTTCAAGATCAAGAGAGGCATTTCGTTTAGGATGGATTAGGACCTGGGCCCCTTCTATGGGCTGACGTCTCCATCCAGAGAAAAACCACTTGTCTGGAGGCATTAACAAGGAAGCCCCGTGTATGTTTACTGGGAATTCCTACCATCCACCCCCTTCGACACGGGCGGGAGCGCCACACACCTTCCCACCTCCGCTGCCCTCTCCTCCCCGCAGGTCCTGCAGCCTGGTCACCATGCAAAGGGAAAGATCACCTCCCTTCCTAACCCGTCCCCACCCCCTGGGCCCTCTCGCTGGGCCAGCTCCGGGCCTCCTCCACCCGGTGGGCCCCGCAGACACCACGACACCCAGGCCTCCCTCTGGGCCCCGCAGGCACCACGACCCCCAGGCCTCCCGCTGGGCCCCGCAGGCACCACGACCCCCAGGCCTCCCGCTGGGCCCCGCAGGCACCACGACCCCCAGGCCTCCCGCTGGGCCCCGCAGGCACCACGACCCCCAGGCCTCCCGCTGGGCCCCGCAGGCACCACGACACCCAGGCCTCCCTCTGGGCCCCGCAGACACCACGGCACCCAGGCCTCCCTCTGATTCCCATGCAGCTCTGAGCAGAGCTCTGTCCCGTGTTCCGGAGGGAAGTGGATCGCGTGGACACAGAGAGCCAGGGAATATGTGTGTCCAGAGGCAGGAGATAGCGGGCGGAGAAGAGAAGGACTTGTCAGCGTCTGAGATAAGATCGGGGGGGAGTCCGCTCATAGCTTTGATGGAGCGCCTGCCTGCCAGGGGCTGCGGGCTTTCTCTCCCCTAATCACAGAAGCTGGCGTCAAACCATTACTCAGACCTGGCCGGAGGGTGGGTGTGGGAGAGAGGGGAGTGAGAGGGGGGAGGCATCCATTATCCCTCTGTCCAGCAAAGGAGAGGCGATAAGAGTTAGTCTAAGTGGTTTCACCCACAGGGACAGAGAGGAATGGGCCGCGGCCTCGGCAAGAGAGGAGAAACGCTTGACATGAGTAAATGCGTCTGTGGCCCCGGCCGGTGTGGCTCAGTGCAAAGAAGTTTGGCATCTATTTTTAAGTTTGAGTAGTACATTATGTTGAACCAATTCACATTTTCACCAGGAGTGTATGAACTTTCTTCACTT